ACTCCCAGCACATGGATGCGTTCACCAATCCAGAAGCTCCCAAACCCCATTATTTAGAGGATTTTACGGGGTCTCCATTATGTTGGCCACAGCTGATTAAATTATTGGCCATGGGCCGTTGGTTTAAACTTGATCTCAAAATTTGAGGAATTTTTCTTTCAATTATCTTTTTTTTTCTAGATTGGCCCTGAGCTAACAGCTGTTGCCAATCTTCCTCTTTCTTTTTTCTCCCCAAAGCCCCAGTACATAGTTGTATATCTTAGTCATAGGTCATTCTAGTTCTTTTATGTGGGACGCCACCACAGCATGGCTTGATGAGCAGTGCTAGGTCAGCGCCCAGGATCCAAACCAGACCCTGGTGAACCATGGGCCACCTGAAGCAGAGTGCACGAACTTAACCACTTGGCCATACCTAATTGTACTTGATTTATTTCTGCCTGTTTTTGTTCTTTCCTAGGAGAAAATATCTTTTTTAAAAAACAGCTTTGTTGAGGCATAATTGATACATCATAAAATGCACATACTTAAAGCATGCAATTTCATGAGTTTTGACGTGTCTACACCCATGAAACCATCACAATTAAAATAATGAATGTATCATCACCTCCAAAAGTTTCCTGAATCCTCTCTCCCCTCCTGGTCCAACGCTAATCATTTGGCACTCTACAGAATTTTCGTAGAAATGGAATCACATAGAATGTACTTTTTTATCTGGCTTCCTTACCTTAATTAAGATTCATCCATGTTGTTGTGTGTATCACATTTTATTCCTGTTTATTGCTGAGTAGTATTCCTTTGTATGAATACACCATAATTTGTTTATCCATTCACCTGTTAATGGACTTTTTAGTAGTTTCCAGTTTTGGGTTATTGCAACTATTATGGACACTCGTGTGCAAGTTTTTATGTGGACAAATGTTTTTGTTTCTCTTGGATAAATAGGTAGGCATAAAATGTCTGGGCCATGTGGTGACTGTGTGTTTAGCTTTCTAAAATGGTTGTACCATATTGTACTTGTACCATTTCTACTTGATTCCTTTCTCTCTATACTTTTTTTTAAAGATTCAGGTGAAATTCACATAACATACAGTTAATTGTTTTAAAATGTACAACTTACAGGCATTTGGTGCATCCAGAATGTCGTGCAGCCACCACCTCTCTCTAGTTTCAAAAGTTCCTTATCACCCAGGGACATCCCACACCCATTAAGCACTCACTCCCAACTCCCCCTCCCCCACTCCCGGGAGTCACTAATCTGCTTTCTATGGCTTTGGATTTGCCTACTCTAGACTCTTTGTATAAAAGGAATTGTACAATGTGGCCTTTTGTGTCTGACCTCTTTCACTTAGCATGTTTTTGAAGTTTGTCCAATTTGTAGTAGGTATCAGTACTTCATTCCTTTTTATGGCTGAATAATTTTCCATTGTATGTATATGCCACAATTTGTTTATCCAATTATCCATTGATGGACATTTAGGTTGTTTCCACCTTTGGCTACTGTGGAGAGTGCAGCTGTGAACATTCATCCACAGGTAACTGACTACCTGTTTTCAATTTGAGGGGTATAAGCCTAAGAGTGAAATTGTTGGGTAATATGCTAATTGTATGTTTAATTTTTTGAGGAACCGCCAAGGATTTTTCCATATCCTTACTAACATTTATTCCTTTTTTTTTTTAAATTATAGCCATCCTAGTGGGTGCGAAGTGGTATCGCATTGTGGTTTTGACTTGTTTCCTTAACGACCAACAATGTTGAACATCTTTTCACGTTGGCAATTTGCGTGTCTTCCTTAGAGAAATATCTATTCAAGACTTTTGTCCATTTTTTAATTAGGTTGTCCTTTTCTTTAGGCAGGGCATGTTGTAAGAGTTCTTCAGATTTTCTGGATACCAGACCCTTATCAGATGGATGATTTGCAAATATTTTCTCCCATTCTGTAGAGTGTCTTTTCACTTTCTCCATAATGTGTTTTGATGCAAAGTTTTTAATCTTGATGAAGTCCAATTTATTTTTCTTCTTTTGTTGCTAATGCTTTTGGTGTTAAATCTAAGAATCCATGGGGAAATTTCTTGCCTTTATCTACGTTACTGCTTCACTTATCTACTTGACTCATTTACTTAAAAGGAATTTGAGCCTACTGTATTTCACCTGGTGATTGCCTGGCCTGGAGGTTGGCAAGCTCGTCCTGAGTGGGAGTTTTTGTGGTGTTTTCCCCCTGCCTCTCAGTTTGGTGCTGTGTTCACTTACAACTCGGGCCTCCACTCGAGCACTCAGCCTTAGGTATGTGCCTGAGATCGCCAACATGGTAAGAAAAGTAGAGATCTAACCCAGGAGGTAGAAGATAGCAATTTTGGTCCAGTTTATACGATTTGAAAAAAATATTAAGCTCTGAGTGCAACCACTATGGAAAGCAGGAGTTTCCTCAAAAAACTAAAAATAGAACCGTCATATGATCCAGCTATCCCACTTCTGGGTATTTATCTGACGAAAACAAGAACACTAATTCAAAAAGCTATCTGCACCCCCAGCTTCACTGCAGCGTTATTTACAGTAGCCAAGACGCGGAAACAACCTAAGTGTTTACCAACAGATGAGTGGATAAAGAGATTGTGGTATGTGCATATATATACGCATGCACATATATACAGTGGAATATTATTCAGCCTTAAAAAGAATGAAATCTTAGCATTTGCAATTACAGGGATGGACCTCAAGAGCATTATGCTAAGTGAAATAAGTCAAACAGAGAAATACTGTATGATCTCACGTACACGTGGAATCTAAAATAACAAGCCCATAGATACAGAGAACAGATTGGTGGTTGCCAGAGGTAGTGGGGGCAGAGGGTGGGAGAAATGGGTGAAGGGAGTCAAAAGGTACAAACTTCCAGTTATAAAAGAAACGCCATGGGGACGTGATGTACAGCATGGCAACTCTAGTGGGTAATTGTTGTTGGTGCTGTTGAGTCGATTCCAGCTCCTAGCGACCCTGTGTACAGTGGAGCGGAACCCTGCCCGGACTTTTTGTGCCATCCTCTCACCTTCTGGCGCCACATGAGACAATGCTCCACTGTATTCACAGGGTTTTCACGGCCAATTCCTTTGGGAGTGGGTGGCCAGGTCCTTCTTCCTAGTCTGTCTAGTCTGGAAGTTCCACTGAAACCTGTCCACTATGGGTGACCCTGCTGATATTTGAAATACTGGTGGCACAGCTTTCAGCATCACAGCAACACGCAGCCGCCACAGTATGACAACCAACAGATGGGTGGTGTGGTTCCCTGACCGGGAAACGAACCTGGGCTGCGGGTGGTGAGAGAGCCAAATCTTAACCACTGGGCCACCAAGGCTGACTACAGTTAATACTACTGTATTACATATTTGAAAACTGCTATGAGAGTAAATCTTAAAAGTTCTCATCACAAGAAAAAAAAATTCTGTAACTACGTATGGTAACGGATGTTAACTAGTCTTGTGATCATTTGACAATATATACAAATACCAAATTATGCTGTACACCTGAAACTAATATAATGTTGTATGTCAATTATATCTTAACAAAAAGAAATTAGCCAAACCCGATTCTAAAGCATAACCTCCACCCACTCTCCCCACTCACACTGCTCATCCAGTGGCGCTTTCTTATCACCCAGTTGTTTTTCCACTGAGAAGTGGAAAAGGATGAAACCTTTTGTCTAACCAAGTGGACTTGGGCAAAGACAGTGTGAGCAGCTCTGTTGTAAGAGGTGCCACGGCTAGAAGAAAATAATCTACCCTGAGAAGCCAGTGCCATCGGGCAATACCTTTCGATTCTTTCTGCTTCCTAGTCAACGCTGGCTTCCTGACTGGACTGTAGCTTCACGCAGGCAGGTACCAGACAGGAGTCACTTGCCTGCGTCCCGGGACTTGGACCCTGGAGGTTTCCTGAGGCATCCAATGAATGGGATCCACGACATGGTCACAATCAGTAACATCTTGGTGGTAATCAAAATTTTCAGTGAAAAGAAGTATGTTTGTTAAATGTGCAAGGCTGTGTGAGGCTCAAAGAAGCCACGAAGGCCCTTCTTGGGGTGGCGATAGCTTCCAAACTTGGCCAGCTCCAGGTCTTCGGCTCCTAATAAAGTTTTTAAAAAGTTTGGGATCTAGATACCAAGTTCTCTCCCTCCCAGCACCTCAGAACCACAGCTCCTCGCATGTAACTGTGCTTTTAAGCTTCAACGTGCTGTTCCCTGGTTCTCAAGTGTGGGCGGCACCCTCCCGGCACTCAGGCCCCTGGGTCCCTCCTGTTGGGCGCGGGCTGTGACTCACTCTAACAAACTGAATATGGTAAAGCAACGGACTGTCATTGGAGACTAGTTTACAAAAAGGCTCTGCCTTCCATCTCGCTCTCTCGCTTGCTCTGATGAAAACCACCTGCCATGCTGGGAGCTGACCTACGGAGAGCACCACGTGGCAAGGAACTGAGGGAGGACTCTGGCCAAGAGCCAGTGAGGAACTGAGGCCCTCAATCCAACAGCCCACAAGGAGCTGAATCCTGCCTGAAACCACCTGAGCGATTCCGGAAAGCCACTCAGGCCTTGAGATGACTGCAACCCTGGCCAACACCTCGACCCCAGGTGTCATCAGCCTCCTGAGAGGCTGGGCCAGGGGACCCAGGTAAACAATGCCGGGATTCCTGACCAGCAGAAACTGTGAGATAATAAATGTCTGTTGTTTCAAGGTGCTCAGTTTCAAGGTAACTGTTAACATAGCAATAGATAACTAACACACCCGGGACAAACGGGGCATTACTACACCATGGCCTGAAAATTGTCAAGCGGGCACCTTGGGCAAGTTACTTAACCTGCAGGGGCTTTCAGTTCCTTACCTTCAAACAGGAAGAGGCTTCCTCGCCGAGGGATCACTGCCCTGTGTAGGAAGGTATCTGCTCAGAGACAAGCGTTAGCTCGCTATGAACTAGCACAGATCTTAACAGACTCCAAATGGTTTAATTCAAAGAGGAATTGCAATTAAATTTTCATAATTTTATTTCCTTACATCAAAAACACTTTTAATTAGCAAAAACAAAGGACATACTCAGAATTAGGTAAAAATCATGTTTTCCTTTTAACTGACTACTTAGTTCACAGCATGTCCTCTCTCGGCTGCTACTTTGGTAAGAATCAGGTCCCCTTCTCTCAAGAACATGGCATCTGAACAGGCTGAGACAGAGCCCGTGTGAACGCAGGCCCCGATCCAGGCTTTAGGAACAATAAGAATGGCAGAAACCAGCCTTTCTCTCACTTAGGAAGGACTGTGAACCTGAGGGTCCAGAGCTCCGCTTTCCACAGAAAACCTGGAGCTCAACGTAAAACGAAACCAAATCTGCGAAACACGGAGTACAGTTCCTGCTCGTATACTCAAGGGCAAGACGGTTTTTGAGAAACAAGTATCTGATCTTCTGGCCTCTTCTATGAGGAATGGACCCACTCCAGCATTTTTTAAAGGAAGTTTTTGGTGTTTCTTTTTTTTCTATTTCATTTCCCAAAGCAGTATAAAATCTACTAAAAGGGCTATAATGAATCAGAATAAATCAGCTCACTCACAATGCTGAGAATATTCAGCACATTATTTCAAAGTGGCAAAATTCAGGGCAATCTGAGAAGAAAATTCAAAAGTGGCAGCTACATTTGCTGACAGGCTTATGTGACACACACAGACATCCGACTCCATCTTTCTCAGTGTATATGTCAAGGGGCCAAGACCCCTGAGGATCAAAATAAGTTATTTTCTACATTACAGTGCACAGAACAACAGAGGGAAAGACACTTTCTTGGAGAGTGACCAAAAGGCATTGTGCAAAAGGTTCCTATCACTCTGAAGGTGAAGGACGGGAGCCGGGCCTCGCGGCCTCACTAGCTCGACCCCTCCTCCTCTGTGGTTGCAGCGGCCTCAGTGGGAGCTCTTTCCTCTAAGGGTTCCGCGGGCTTCTTCTCTTCCTCCTCCTCCTCGTCTTCCTGGGGATAGAGGTCCGGGTATTTCTGCATGCACTCCTGCATGGCCCGGAACTGGGCTACACAGTCTGACCCCTTGACCTCTTCCGTGCTGTAGTGGAAGCAGGAGAAGGCCGACTTGAACTGTTCCCCACAGGGGCCGCTGGCCATTCCCCCAAGGCACGGGCAGTTCCAGTTAATGTCCCCATTTGGCAGGATCAATCCTGGAACAGGAAGACAGGCAAGGAAAATGTGAGAGATGTTCTCTAAGGTTTCAGAAAAAGTAAAACCAAGTCCAGTCTTCACAGGCCCCTGAGAAGGTGCGGAACTGTTGCCTGGCAGGCACTCGCCTGTGGACCCACCTCTTGATTCAGATGGGGTTCAAACGCCTGGCACAAATCCAGCACTCCCGGCTCAGGTGGAGAAAAGCCAGCATCAGCATCTCTCCACGTGCAAGAGTGTTCTGTGTTCTAAGCCGCCTCCCAGTGCTGTGGCTGTGGCTGTGCTCCAAGCACTACCTACTGGAAACCATTTAAGCCAAAGCAGGGGCCAACACCTGGATGGTTCGCAAGAAGCTTGTTGAAAGTGCAAACACTTTAAGGAGCTGACTATTGAGGTACTCATCTCCTCTTTCACTCTCTGCTCCCCTCCTGGGGATCAGGACCCGGCGCTGCCCACACGCCCTGCCCTCAAGGCCCTCGCTCTGCGGCTGCTCGCACAGGCTCAGCACGAGTGAGGACCGGCAGAGAGGAGGTGGATGGGAAGATGTCCGACACGTCAGACAAGGAAACGGCCAGAGTGGTGTGGTTCCAGTCTCGTAAAAATGAAAAACCTAGAGGAATATTAACCATATTTACCAAACTGTTGAACTGCACATACATATTGGGAAGGTGGATTTTCATTTGCAGTATTACATAGGCTCCTTACTTTTGAATTTTACACTTTTTCTTCTATATGAAACTTGTTCACACCTAAATACTACTGCCTGGCTTTCTAAAATGTTTTCAAGATGATTGCTTCATTTTCAGCTTTGTCACAGAAATACGCTTCACACAGAAGTTCCTGCCTGAGTCTTCCAGAGACTGAGAGCGCTCTTTAAGAAAGACTCTCAAACGCCCAGTGAAATTACATGATTTTTCACTCCAGGAAGTACCTGGGCACGGCACTCTGAGCTAGTGTCCAAAGTCCTGGGCCTGTGCTGAACCTGCCTCTTACTTCTAGCTCAGGAAGCTTCGCTGACGGACAAATCCTCCCCGACGACAGAATGGGCTGGCAGTGAGCCGTCCACGGGCGCCGCCCCGAGCAGGCAGTTCTCCACCAGCAACGCCAGCTGCGGAGCACATTCTTGTGCGCCCAGCTCTACACGGTACATCACAGAAGCCTTTGACAACCTTCTGCAGGAGGGACTACTAACCCCAGCTTTCAGATGACATTTTGGGGGTTCAGTGGGGTCCACGTCAGGACCACAGCCAGGGCCCGTGGGATTCCAGAGCCTGCGCTGTTTCCCTCCCATCTCCCCACCTCTCCCTACCCCGCAGGCCATCTCAGTGCTGGAAACAGGCAAATGCTGTACCCTGGAGGCTCAAAACTGGCAACAAATCTACAGAACCAGTTTCCAAAGGAAATAACACTAACGTTTAAAAATAACCGCCCTGGTCTGCAGGAGTCCTAGTTTCATCCTTTCTCGGGAAGGTGAGCTAGAATGAGGCAGCTCCTCATGGAGAACGCTGACGGTGCCCATCTGCAGAGACACAGTGTCTAACCACACAGACCAGCCTCAGGTGCTACACTAAGCCCAGACGCAGCACGTCTCCACACATGTCAGAAAAGGCCTAGAGGGGCCGGCCCCGTGGCCGAGTGGTTGAGTTCACGCGTTCCGCTGCAGCGGCCCAGGGTTCAGATCCTGGGCGCGGACATGGCACTGCTCGTCAGGCCACGTTGAGGTGGCGTCCCACATCCCACAACTAGAAGGACCTGCAACTAAGATATACAACTGTGTACTGGGGGGGTTTGGGGAGATAAAGCAGAAAGAAAAAAAAAAAAAAAAAGAAAAGGCCTAGAGTTCTGGTCACCTCTATTGACCTCCCTGGCCAGCCCCCACCTCCTCCCAGGCCCTCGGCTTTCCCAGTGGCCCAGGTGGCCTTGTACGCCCTCCTGTCTTCCTGTTCTGTGAAAGCTAACTCTGAACCTCTTTCTCATGGCGCTCTTAGCTGCTCAGGTGCCATCTCAGCCACAGAGCACAGTGCTGGGATGCGGGCAGCTGGCGTAAATTGGCGACCTCCTTAGTCCCCTAGTCTGCTTAGTCATTTTGTAAATGAGAGCTCAGACCGTGGGTCCCAACTGTTTTATATGCTTCTTCACACAGTTAGTCACCAGAAAGGGTTGCAAAGGCAAATACCTGTAAAGTCCAAGCAGATATACCTGACAGAAGCAGGGAGGGGAGAAAGCAGGAGGGATGGTCAAGACCGGCGGGAACTGGAAGGGAATGCGCAGTCTTGAGGCAGGCACACTGAGTTTTTAAAAACACCATGAGGCAAACAGAACAAGGCCTGATTTGTTCTGCAGGCTCCACAGAGTCTCAACCAATTAATGAAATGTGCTCAACTAATAGGATCTAAAGACAGGCAAAGTGCTGGAATTTAGATGTGATTTATTTTTCTTTACAAGAGTGCTGATTCACGGTCCCTCCTGTAGCTGCTGTTCTCAGAAGCTAACACTGTACACCATCTGCACGTCCCCCTTTTCCCAACAGGGTGCTCGGTATGCATCCTCAGCTAGACTCTGAGCCCTCGGAGCAGGAAGGGCAGCAGGAGAAGCACCCTGCCTCAGAATACACACTTCAGTCAGCATGTGAGAAATCCCAGCCAGCAGCCCACACTCCACGGGCAGCCACGACCAGCTCCCTGAACCATAGTTATCGCCACTCCGCACTAGACGGTTTGTTGGTTGTCATCCTGGACATCAGAATGGCTTTAGTTTGGTGAACTGAGCACTGCTGATGATATGTGGACTGTTTATGAACACCGCACACACCCCCACACCTGACACAGGCTGAGTAAGTTCTAATAAGTCCAGCCCCCCACGCCTTTGGAGTGACTCTCTAGGCCCAAGTGACCACTGACCACACTAACCAGGTTGTGTGCAGCAGTTCTGACCAGGTTAGCTGAATCCCGCAGCTGGGAAACCATCCCTCTTTCTCAAGTGAGCTTCTCATGCCAGGTGTGTGCTGGAGCAGATACAAGCGGAGCAGCGACTTCACCCCCTCACAGAACGAGGGTGTGACACCCACACACCAGCTTGCTCAGTATCTGCAGGTGTGCCAGAACTCAGTCTGGTAATGACTGAGCAGGAGGGTCCCTGTCATCATAACCCACTTGTAACTGCTAGAATCCTCTGACGTGCCCCCCAAACTTCATCACTGAGAAGCATCCACTGAGCTGAAGTCAGTGCAAACCTTCAGAAGAGAACGAGGCAGAAGACTTCAGTAACGAGAAACTCCCAGGTTCTGGCCTGATGGCCGGGGAAGAGATCAGAGAAAGGTAGAAGCACAGCCCTCATGCCTCTGAGGGAGGCAGGCCACGCTGACATGGAAACCTGCAGACCCGGCCTCAGCCAGGACAAACGGGAAAGGAACTGTGGACATCGAACTTCACCCCAGGACGTATCTGCAGGTCCCTGAGAGGCCCCGCGTCACTCACCATGCTCCTCGTACGGATCGTTGGGGTCATCAGCCACCAGCTCAGCATTGCTTGGAGTTTCGTGGTCTTCTTTGGTCACAAATATGATTCGATCCTTTCCTGGAGTTTGGAGAGCAGAGGAAGAAAGTTTCACTCAAGAGCAGCCAAGCAGCCCTAATCCCAAAGCAGCCACACAAACCAAGTTCAAAGACTGTCCCGGGGCCGCCCCGTGGCTGAGAGGTCGGGTTTTCGCGCTCTGCTTCCGTGGCCCAGGGTTTCGCCCATTCAGATCCTGGGTGCGGACATGGCACCGCTAGTCAAGTCAGGCTGAGGCAGCATCCCACATGCCACAGCTGGAAGGACCTATAACTAGAATATACAACTATGTACCAGGGGGCTTTGGGGAGAAGACGACAAACGAAAAAAAGATTGGCAACAGATGTTAGCTCAGGGGCAATCTTTAAAAAAAAGAAAGAGGCATAAAGAAAAAGAAGACCTGGCTCTAGCCCCTAGGGGTTTACCCACAGGGTTCAGAAGGCACAAAAAGCCTGAGAAAGACAGAACTTTGACAAGAGGAGAAGCGCACAGTGAGGGGGGTGCCCAGCCAGCAGCCCACTCCGCTGATGGAGCCAGTGAAGTCTGTCCAAGGAGACGCCCTGTGGGAAAATATCCCCATCACCTGCCTCTGACAGGCTGAGGACACAGGTCTGAGAGTGCCCATGGGCAAGACTCCCTCTAGCGTCTTGGCGCCTGATTGTGGCCAGAAGGAAGGGATCACGCGGGTGGAGAACACTGCGGCAGCTCCCCTCAGTCCGCGAGGCCTGGGGGCTACTTCCCCACAAGTGGAATGACTAGGCGGAGGAGGGACGATTTCAGAGTTGCTGATGCCGTTAACTTCTGTGCCAATCTGCAGTTGGTTATTCTTCAGAACAATCACCAAACCCCAAAAACAACAGGCTGGCGGTCGGTCAGGACTGAGGCCCTGCAAGGACGGGCACCAGGCAGCCAGCTCCTAAAGTGAACCGCACCCGGTCAGGCCAGAGCCCCCGTCCCACGAGCCTGGCTGCCAGCAGGTCCTGAGCCTCCAGGGAAGCAGACTGGAGGAGGCCGAGTGCATGGGAGGAGCTTCTCCTCGGGCGGCCAGGTGAGCTGAAGCGGCAATCAGCACGGACGATGCCACAGCAGGTGCATTCCGCGGCTCGTCTCAGCTGACCTTACAATGGCTATCAAGTTTTACCATCCTCTGGCCCCATTTTACACAGCAGGAAACCAAGGCCAGAGTGGTCACTCCAAGTCAATCAGAGGGAAACGGCAAGGCAAGCAGCTCCCCTGTCCAGCTCCCTCCTGGGCTCTCTCCCACACCTTGTAGCTGTCAACACCTGACCTCGCCCTCCTAAACCTGTACCCTCCGGGAAACCTCAGCAGGCGTCTGTCCGGGATTCCTGCCGGGGGTCCTCACCCTGCACGGCACGGTGCTCGGTTTGTCCCGTAGTCCCTGGTGGGCAGATGGTCCCTCCTGGGCTCTGCATGTCAGCCAGCTCCTGCCATCCCCTCGCCACGCTGAGGAGGCAGCAGGAGCGCCATTTTCCGGTGGTAAGCCTGAGGCCTGGAAGTGACTTGGCTGAGCTCACACAGGGCTGGAATTTGAACCCAGCTGTGTCCCCAAAGGCCACACTGTGGATATCCCTCGCACATGCCCACACTGTCCCCCACCCCCAGCACACACAGACACACAAATAAAAACGACAGCTGACCCTGAGTACTGGGCATGACTCAGACACTGTCCTGAGAGCTTTGTGTGCTTTGGGCAGGAATAAATGTTTTGTACCATAAATACTGACCTAATCCCTACCCAGGAAGCTTAGAATCAAGTGACTGTTTGCCGAGTGAACAAACAGGAGCGCTCTTCTAAGCTACAGGTACCTACCTGGTGAAGGGCAAGGAGAGTTTCAACAGCCCTACTGACTGCCCACTGTGACCCAGGACAAGGGGAGCCTCATCTGGAAGGGGATGCAAGGTGCCCGGCACTTAAGAAGACATCTCTAGCACCATGGGAATGGGCCCTTGGACAGGGCCGTAGTCAGTGGCCTGCAGCGAGCCAGCCTGGCTGGGGCAGAGGCTGCGCCTGCAGAAATGTGGCTCTCTGAGAGCTGCTGCATTTTCTCTGATTACGTCATACTTCTTTGTTTTCCCTTTATATTTAGGAAAGTTCAGTCACAGGCAGGCTGAGAGAAACCAAAGAAAAAGGTTTGGGTCCACACTGGGTGGGAGTACTTAAGGAAGAGGCTTGGGGAAAGCATGGGGGGTGACAGCAAAAACCAGGGCGACACCTCCAGAGAGGACAGTGCAGGGGCAGAGCAAGGCCCCTTGTGCCTTAAATCCTCCTCATACCTGCACAGGGTCTCCCACATGGGGAGCTGACCCTCGGCACACGTGGGGACCGGACCTCCAGGCCACATGACGTTTCTGCTCCAGACCTGGTCTCCGCCTCAACTCCTCCCATTTTATCTCAGAGAAGACTGCTTCTCCCACTGGCCTGGGAAAGGGTTTGGGCCAGGTGGCCAGGGCACGTTAAAGTATCTAATGACCTTGGTAATTCTGGCCAGTTTTCAAAACACTCGAAAGCAACCTGCAAAACTGCTGAACGCTAAGGAGAATAAGCTGGAGCAAATTTCTCACCTCAGCCCAGACAGTCTGTTTACCAAGATCTTAGTTTGGCCCAGCCCCAGAGGCAAGGGGTCCAAACCTGGCCGGACACCCATGGGGTGTGTGAGGGCGAGGCCAGGCCTCCAGCAGCAGAAGCTGAGTCAAACCCTCTGGCACCCACAACGCTCACAGGCTGCACAGGTTAGCCTGAGACAGGCACGCTTGGGGTCACAGGTCTGGCACAACCCCACGGACAATGTTCCAGGTCCCTCCCACAGGGCTCAGTCCTCTTGTGCCACCTTCCCGGACGCCCCCTTTAGAGAACAGTTACACGGGATCAACGAATGTGATATTGTGATTTATAAGAAATACTTATTTCGTCTTTGACTCCATTGCTGGCACAGAGCTCCTAAAACCCTTGAAAAGTCCCAAGGAGTGAGAGGTGGCTAAGATCTTTTGTTATGTTAATGAGGCAACTTTTCGAAGGCACCTAAGGATGGGGCTGGTTGCCAGGAGAACCAACCACAAGATTAGAGGGTGGAAACTTTCAGTCCCACCCCCTGACTTTCGGGGTGGAGAGGGGCCTGGAGGTTGACTCACTCACCAATGGCCAGTGAGTTAATCAATCATGCCCATGTAACGAAGTCTCCATGAAGACCCACAAGGACGGGGTGCAGAGCGTCCAGGTTGGTAAAGGTTTGGGGAGAGAGGTGCGCTCGGAGAGGGCAGGGAGGCTCCGGGCCCCTTCCCCAGACCTTGCCCTCTGCCTCTCTTCCATCTGGCTGTTCTGGAGTTAGAGCCTTTTATAATGAACCAGTAATCAGTGAGGGAACAGTTTCTGAGTTCTGTGAGCCGCTCTAGCAAGTTAACAGAACCCAAGGAGGGGGTGGCTAGAACCTTCCATCTAGAGCCAGTCGGTCAGAAGCACAGGTGATAAACCAGATTGAGGATTGGCGACTGGTGCCTGAGGAGGGGTGGGGCAGTCCTGTGGGACTGCCTTCATCTGTGGGATCTGACACTACCTCCAGGTAGAGGTGTCAGAAGTGGGGTGAATTGTAGGACACCCAGCTGGTGCTGGAGAACTGGTGTGGGGAAAAAGCCACACACTGGGACTGGAATCCTTAAGAGCAGAACATAACAATTCATCTTTTAAACACGTGGGCTCAGTGCAACGTGTTTTACACCTGTCAGCTCATTTAGTCCGCTGTGAGGTGGGTATTACTTTATCTCCTTTTCAGAGACACAGGAAAGGGAGGCCCAGAGGAGGTAAGAAACCGCCCAGAAGTCACACAGTAAGTGAAGGCAGAGCAGGAAGACAAACTCTGGTCTGAAAGATCCCGAGTGTGCCACCTTACGCACAACCACGCACCATGTAATATTTCAGTCAACGTGGGACCACATATACGACGGTGGTCTCATAAAATTAGTACCCTGTAGCCTAGGTGTGCAACAGGCTGTCCCATCCAGGTCTGTGTGAGTGCACTCTGTGATGTTCGCACAACAGTGAAATCGCCGAACGACGCGTTTCTCAGAACGTTTTCCCGTCATTAAGCGACACATGACTGTGCTGGCCACTGCATACCCGTCCCACCAGGCCTTCGCTTCCTCGAATGTTTAAAAGGGAACACAAGGACGATGCTTATTTACTCCTAACAGACCTGTGAAAGAAAGGACTAGTCATAAGAATGCCAACTCGAGGGGTAATCAGCTAGACCAGAAGACCTCATTAAACTTCTCAGGAATTTCTCTAGAGAAATACAAAAATGCTTATTTTTACTTCCAAGACAACCTAAACAAATTGATATACGCACACTCAGGAGGATGTGGATAAGCACCTTAACCTTACACCTCCTAGAGTTCTGAATCCAAAGATATTAACTACCCCAGCTGCTGGGAAAAGGACTGTCCTTCCCAGCCAGAGACGGCCAAATGGCTTCGCATCACTGCAGCACGTGGTGAGCAAAGCTTCCTCAGCCTGAGACTGAGCCTGGACCACCTGGCCACGGAACGATGGCACGCAGGCACAGTTGACTGGAAAGGACCCGCGTGGGCACAGAAACGCGGTCTCCATACAAGGCCAATTAAGGTTTTCAGTCAAGCACCGTCTACCAGATTGAATTGATGTTGCTAAACTGAATGCTGTTAGAATTCAATCCACTCATTGTTGGTTTTAGAGTCAGCTAAGACTACAGGCAAATGTTTATACCTTTTAAGTGGAGGTTTCTTAGACATTTTCATAATAATAAAAGAAAAATTTTTAAATCAATACAAGAATTTGTGTCCTTTGGAATCCACATATTTCTCAAATTTAAGAAGCAGACATTCCCTGGAATGTCAGTACAGAAGAGTCAACCTTTTCAAAAAGCCTGGAACCAGCCGAGTGTGACTCCAGACACCTCACACATAACCGGCTCTCCCGCTCCCCACTGTTCCCCTCTGAGGACCACGCACACCCATCTCCTCGGGGCCTCCCCGGGTGGTGAGCTCACAGCCATATCTCCCACGCACGCTCTGCCCTCCTGTGACCAGCTCCCTTATGCTTATCAAACTGCAGCCCCTACAGGGTTGCACTGTGCAGCCCCGTGACCCTGACACTGAACTCCCAGGGTGGGATCCTCCAATCCTCAACCAGGCCACAGCCACACAGCCGGCGAGCAGACCAAGGCGGAACTGGGGTCTGTCTGACTGTTGACAGGAGCGCATCCCTCCAGTGTCAGAGAAATGGTCTCACCAGAGCACAGGGGAACCCCTCTGGCACTGTAGTTCCATAAGGACACAACCAAAAATAGCTTGATCTGGACCATCTTTCAGATTCCAAGTGCCTTGAGAGCAAAGTGCTGGATCTTGCTGCCCCTTGCCTCTTCCACTAGTCTTTTATTTAGTGGGTATTTACTTACACTTTTAAAATTAAGTTGAAGTTTACTGACACCTTTAGCTGACCGTGGTGGCTTAACCTAAGTCTTAGAGGCTTCACAGACAGAAATGAAGTGTAGGAGGGAATAATCCCACTGAACCCTGACCATTCTGAGCCTGTTTGGTGGCACCGTCCCATTCTGGATGGGTGTCTTGGTCCATTTGGACTGCTATAGCAAAATACCACCAACCAGGTAGCTCAGAAACCACTGAAACTTATTGCTCACAGTCCTGGAGGCTGGAAGTTCAAGATGAGGCAGCAGCACGGTGACCTTCTGGGGAGGGCCCTCTTCCTGGTTCACAGCTGGTGCCTTCTCACTGTGTCCTCACAGGGTAGAAGGGGCCAGAGATCTCTCTGGAGGCTCTTTTATTTTTTATTATTTTGTGTGAGTCTGTGTGTGAGGAAGATTGGCCCCTGAGCTAACAGCTATTGTCAATCCTCCTCTTTTTGCTTGAGGAAGATTGTCGCTGAGCTAACATCTGTGCCGGTCTTCCTCTATTTTATGTGGGACGCCACCACAGCATGGCTGATGAGCAGTGCTAGGTCCACGCCTGAGATCCGAACCCACAAACCCCGGGCCATGGAAGCAGTGTGTGAACTTAACCACTATGCCACCGGGCCAGCCCCTCTGGAGCCTGTTTTAAAAGGGCACTAATCCCATTCACGAAGGCTCCACCCTTATGACTTAAGCACCTCCCAAAGCACCTACAAACACCAGCACACTTGGGGGTTAGGATTTCAACATATGAATTTACGGGGGGACACATTCCTACCACAGCACTGGGGAAAGAAGGGCCCCTGGGTGACCTGACGTGGTTTCAGGGCAGGCATGTATCTTTGCATCCCCAACCCCAGTACCCAGATGGTGCTCATGTTTGCTGAACAGACATAACAGGAAGGGCTCAAAATCAGCTGTAGGAAGAACGAAAGCACAGGCCTGAGCCTGAGATTTAAGCCCAGCGCTGGGAGGGCTGGCTCACAGTGGCATCAGTGTCCCCGTCTCAAGATTGGAGATCAAATCTGAGCATAAGCACGTAACAGCTGTGATCTCAGGCACCTTCTTGGGGCCTCAGAAAACAGGCCCCCACCAGCTCAGCCACTTACCTCCTGTGGTTAGGGCAAGAATCGAGAGACTTCGGTTAACAAAGGAGGCGAAATGAGTTTCTACTCTCACCTGAAATTCCACTCAAAAGACAGTAATTTTGTAAATGGCGTCAAATAACAAGGGTAAAATGGCCAGGAAGAGAGGATCAGAGGCTAGCCCCGTCAATAAAATTTTGGAAGTGGGAAAGCTGTTAGAGAAGTGCTCTCTGACTTGACAATCGGAGAAAGCTGAACCCAAAGTCACAAGGAGGGGAAGCCAACTAGAAGAAAACCAATCTCCACCCCAGGGCCCCAGCACAGGCTGGGAACTGGAGGCCCCAGCGGTCACTCTGAAAGCTGGACTTCAGGGTGGGGCTGAGAACAGGACTGACTGAGCAGCTGGATCCCAATTCCCCCAATTCCGCAGTTTTACTCTCTATACAGCCATTCTTGACGCCTATCTTTCTCTCATATTTCCATCATCAAATCCAGTTGGCTCTACCTTCAAATACATCCAGAAAGATCTGCATCCCTCACTTCCATGAGCCCATCTCCCACCATCGGCTCCCTCCATTCCAGCACCCCCTGCTTTTACTCTGACACGCTGAGCCCACACCTACCTCCAGGCCTCTGCACAGGCTGCTGTCTCTCCAGCTCTCTCCTCAGACATCCTCACAGCCACCCTCTCCCTGACTTCACACCTCCTGCTCAGATGCCGCCTTCCTTGACCATCCCCCATCTCCTTTACCCTCCTTTTTTTCCTCCAAAGTGCTTCTCCTCATCTAATGTATTATAGATCTGTTTACCACCTGTCTCCCCCACTGAAATGTCAGCTTTCCAGGGGCAAGGATTTGTCTATTCCACTCATTGCAGTATGTCCAGAGCCTAGAACAGTGCCCAGAACACAGTGGGTAAACAATACTTGTAAAACTAGGGGCCGGCCCAGTGGCACAGTGGTTAAGTTCGCATGTTCTGCTTCAGCGGCCCAGGATTCACCAGTTCGGATCCCGGGTGTGGACATGGCACCACTTGGCAAGCCATGCTGTGCCCACATATAAAGTAGAGGAAGATGGGCACGGATGTTAGCTCAGGGCCAGTCTTCCTGAGCAAAAAGAGGAGGATTGGTGGCAGTTAGCTCAGGGCTAATCTTCCTAAAAAAAAAAAAAAAAACTAAAAGGAGACACTGAACTCTGGATTAGGACGTGAAAGCCCCAGCCCCAGCAGAGAGAGGAAGACAGAATTGTTATCATCATTAAGAAGGTGGGAGAAGACCCTTGGATGGGTGGTCTCATTTCCCCCAGAAAAGGGAACATGAACACGCATGGGATCTTTACACACCAGTCTCTCTCAGCATATCCAACTCAGAAGGAGCACCCACCTCTCCCACTGTGTCACGTGGGCAGACTGTCACCTGTGCTCACTGCTACCTGCTCAGTGGCTGGTGCATCACAGGAGCTCAATGTTCGTGGACTGAACAGAAAAGAGCAGGCCGAGGAAAAGGAGGAGACTAAAGAGAGAATCAGTGTGGCGCCGACACAGAAAAGTGTGGGTGGGCAAAAGCCAGGGAGCAAGGCTGAGCCCACGTTGTGGGACGCCTTGAATACCAAGCAAAGGCCTTTGTCCTGAAGGCTGGGTGGTGGGTGGACCCCTGAAGTAAACTTGTACAGGCAGCGATTCTCTCAGAACACAGGGCAGGCATGCATATGGGTTCACTCCACAAAGATGTGAGCACCCACCTGTCCATCAGGCCCTGTGCTCAGTGCTGGGGATACGGCCCAGCTAATGCTCTCAGCTCAGAGGGAAAAGACAGACAAGAAACAAGATGACAAAAATGAAGAAGGTAATTTCAGAAAGTTTAGGATGTGAAAGACACAAAGGAGCAGCGAAGAGCTCTCTGAGGAGGTGACAACTGAGCTGAGTCTTGAAGGATGAGGAGCCAGCCACGGAAGAGCTGGAGAAGGATGTACCAGGCTAAGGGAACAGCCAAGAGGCCAGTGTGGCTGAGCAGTGATGAGGCGGGAAGAGAGGAGGCTGGAGCTGGGTTGGGCGGGGCTCCATCACGTGATCCCTTCCATGGCAAGGAGTTTGGGATCATTTTTCTGAGTCCTATGGGAAGCACAGAAAAATCAGTGGGTAGAAAAACAAAAGTTGACAACTGGGGGGACAGTGATACAGATAACATAAACTAGGGAAGGCTTGAAAGTGAGTGCTATCAATCCTCATCGCCACACTAAGAGAGAGATCTCCAAGCCAGGAGAAGCTAAGGGTCCATGCTTTGGTAGCAGATGGAAACTGCCTCTGGCTCGCAGATAACCTGTGATGTCTAGAAATCCTCAAGGGCAAGGAGGGGCCTTATTTATCTGCATGGCCTCATTATACGGAAAAGGCTCAAAATTATTTCTTCATTTAGATGAAGAAGTAAATTAGAGACTCAGAGAAAGGAAATTAAAAACATGAGACCTACTGGCTAACAAAGTGGTGAGGGCAGAGGACTTCTGTTCAAGGCACAATGCAGGATTCATCAAGAGAAGTAGTGCCCATTAGGGCCATGGGTGAGCCCTAGGGCTTATGACCCAGGGAAGGAGGAGGGATTCTAGAAACGGCAGTGGACTGGGGAAAAGGCTTCACATTTTAGACTGAGCTGTTCCCCCACCTGGATGTCTGACCTTGGGTAGGTCATCCCCTTCTCTGGGCTTCAGATTCCCTGAATTAAACTGAGGGCCTGGACTATTCACCAAAGAATTTCCAGGTGAGTTCCAACTCTCTCTGCAATTGTATATTCTCAGGTGTCCACCATCCCCATCACCCGGCACAGGGACGGTGCTTCATGAATATCTGCTGAATGAATGAAGACCAACTTCTCATTTTACAGGACTGGAAACTGGGGCCAGCCTCATGGCTTTAGCCATGTCGCCTCTGTGTCTTAGTTTACTCTTTGGTAAAATGCGGAAGATAACAGGGCCTGACTTACAAAGGTCGCTGCAAAACCAATGAGATAAGCCATATAAAGCTCCTTGAACCGTGCGTGATATGTAGCTGGGGCTCAGTAAGTGTTCCCTTTGGCGGCACGTCTACCACTCCAGCACAGCACGTAACCCGAGCGGCAACTTTTGGGGATAGTTAAAAGACGCGTGCAAATGGAAACACGTGTTGCGTGGTGAGGGCGACGGTAATTATTAATAACAGTATGTGGCTAGTTACGAGCCAGGGGAAACGTGCTCGGCGCTTCCCTGACCCCTCCGGCCTAGTTTATGAAATCTCCACGTGCGGGTCCCTCTGCGGTCCGGGTTCGAGCCTCACCGTGACCTTGGACCAGCCTCGCTCCTCCCAGAATCTCGGCTTTCTCATCTGCAAAACCGGGATGGCGACCCCGCCGCCCACCTGCTGCAAAGGTCCCCAGGAGGGTACCCCGAGCCGCGCCTCGGGTCGCCCGCGCCGGCAGCGGGGTCCCGGGGCGCCACGGCCTGCCTGCACCGCGTGTCCCCTGCAGGCCCTCGTAGGCCGGTCTCCATGGCAGCCCGCCCTCCCTACCTTCCTGCCGGCAGTAGGCCATGGCTGCAGCCCAGAGTTCAGACTTCGCAGCGACAGCGGCGGCGGCGGCTCACGCCGTGACCTCTCCTTTGGCGGGGCGGGCGGCTCCGAGGCCCGCGCGGACCCGCCCCCTCCAGGCCTGCCCGCCGCGCGCCTGCTTCCGCGCCCTCCCAGCCCAGCCTGACCCCTCAACCAGGAACTACACTTCCCAGCAGGCCGCGCGCCGCTCGGCCTCTCTGCTTACAGCAGGAACTACATTTCCCAGAAAGTCACGCAGTGCGCAGGCGCATCACTGAAGGACTGTGTCTACGGCAACTTTGCCGAGCAAGCTCCTGACCCTGGACTACATTTTCCAGGAGGCCTTGCGGCGCGCATGAGCAGAAAAGCCAGGGACCCTAGGGGCGGTAACTGTGGCGCGTCCCCTTAGTTCTGGGTTTCACGGGGAGTTTCGCAGCTCGCGCGCGGCCGAGAGGCAGCTGACTCCGCGCTCGGGCTGTAGGCGCGTCTCGCAGCGAAGCAGAGGGAGGGCGCGGCGAGCTGGCTCCCACCATGGCCGCGAACGTGAGTGTCTCTGTTCCGCCGGGCCACACCCGGGCTTCCCCATCAGCCGCGGCCTCCTCTTCCCCGGAGGCCGCCGAGGTCCGTCTGGACGGGCTGACCCCTCCGCGTGCCCGCTTCTGCGCCTCCGGGCGCTGTCCGTTGGTCCGGTCTCTCGGCCCCCGGCTCGGCTCGCGCGTCTGCGCGGAGGGAGGCGGGCTGGGAGGCGGTGCTCC